TCATAAAATTCGTATCATCATCGTAAATATTCATATAATCACAATCATGATAACCGTAGAACTACGGCAGTACTTCATCATAATTGGTGATGCTGCTGTACGTATAGTGCTAGTAACTCATTGAACGATCACGTCTACACCAAGACGTCGTGCACATACGCAAGCCTCGTTTCCGATATTAGCCAAAAGATGTTTTTTTCCCGTTTCTGTACATAATAGTCCGGCTTTTTACATCATACGGATAATAAATAACACTAACAATGACATTATTTGACACTAATTATGATTACAGTAATCAGGCGGAGAAAGATGATATTACCCGTGTATCAGCTAATCGATGAAGCTATTTCAATTATTTCATTGCGTGTGCCAGGAAAAAGATGATTTACTGAAAGAGCAAATTACTCAAGCTGAACAATTATTAATTCATTTTCTACAGATTATCTTGTTCACTGTGGCTTTCACTCCGAAACATTCCGCCATTCGTAGTTTCAGTGGGCCTAAAATTGAAAATTATGGATTCAAGAAAACGTGATGGCTGAAATTCGATCTGGATAACTGTGCCCAAATTTCAAAAGTGACATTTTATCTGTGTTTATGCAGCCTGGAAACTATCACTTCGCTTTTCAAATAACAAAAACAAAATCGATGTCACAAAGAACAATTTGTTCAGAAACGCTTAAAAGCCTAGGGATCGCACTTGCTGATAATTCACCCACAGTACCATCTTTTTTGTGTCGTCTTTTTTATTCAAAAGAAATAGATTTCATTAATGTATCCCCTGGTTGGGCAGCATGTAATTTTTTGTGATGTTTTAACATGGTATTAATGTATTCTTGGCACGATTAGTTTCTATTACACGGTTTCATTGAAAGAAAAGCGGGGTTACTCTTGGTGATTGATGAACATTGTTGGCATAAATTGACAGTTGACAAGTGAGAGCGACATAAATATGCATGTCTCTGAACCTATGATACATGATCAAAACAATATGAATATCAATGATTTTTCTCCCGAACTTAGACACTGATTGAATAAAATATAACAAAGCTTATAATATGCGTACTGGTGTAGGCGATCAGAATTCAACCATATGCTATCCGCGTATGTAATGATAGACAACTGCAACCATCTGTCGTATGTTTCAAGAGGTGAGGTGAAATGGGGTTTAACGTCGCGTCCAAGATTATTGCACTTATATTACGACGTGCATGTGTGTGTGTGTGTGTGTGTGTGTGTGTGTGTGTGTGTGTGTGTGGCTGCTTGTACTAGTCCGGACTGATGCCGATTTATAGTGCTAGCACACTGAGATACCATGCCGCAGTTTAACATGAATACCCTACTCAGACACAGTATACTGACTCCGAGCCGACCAGTCCTTGTTTTAGCCCCTTAATGCCGAGCGCCAGACAGGGTAACAACAAGTACCATCTTTTAACGTCTTTTGGTATGACGCGGCCGGGGATCGAGCCCCGGACCTTCCGCTCTCTGGGCGGACGCTCTACCACTAGGCCACGGAGGCGGTCCCTATGTTTCAAGAAGGTACCGTGATTGATATGACTGGTCTGATTCTAGGAGAGTAATACCAGTTTGGTCAGAATTGGAAATGCGATGCAATAGAACGCCCTACTGTAGATTCCCAATTTGTAGCAGAAGTCTTTGACAATTGCGCCAGAGCATACCAGTCTACCATTATCTGCCGAAACAGATTCATTGGGCGTAAAAGGCAAAAGAGGGGTGAAAATGATATGAATGGATCACTGAAATTCAGTGATGACACCAGGTGTTTGCGAAAAGGGTCAGCATGTCGTGTTCTATCATAAGCATCCGCCACTCACCGTAACTGTCCCGCTCTTTCATACCCCGTCAGATTAGTGAGTATTGTTTTACGCCGCTTTGAAAAGTCGAAGATGTTTTCCATTTTGGTGAAACCCACACGCATGGTGCTGACAAACCAAGAACCATGCCCAGGGCGAGTCTGGGATTCGAACCTACGATCATAGATATCTGGCATCCATCCCCAAGTGACGCAACTCTGCACAGCGTGCCTTTTCATACTCTGTCAGAACAGGGGCGGTCGGATAGCCTAGTGGTTAAATGGTTCGCTCGTCACGCCGAAGACCTGGGTTCGATTCCCGACATGGGTACATTGTGTGAAGCCCATTTCTGGTGTCCCCCGCCGTCATATTGCTGGAATATTGCTAAAAGCGGCGTAAAACCGTACTCACTCACTTACTCACTCTGTCAGAACACACAATCAATACGTGTGGGCTGGACAGGTGTGTTGGAGGATGAGGGGTGGTTTATCCTTTTTGAGAACACCTGGTGTCATCACACTGATTTTCAGTGATCCATCCATACAAATGTCAACCGCTTTTAATGCTGAATGAAATCTGTTTCCCAGTTAATCGATAGTGATAATTCTCTGGCGTTGACGTGTTATATTTACAGAAATGAAGTTGTTCTGCTCTCAATGTTCTGGCAATGATATATTTGCCAATAGTTTACATACGTACAGACCGCCTCTGTGGTCTAGTGGTAGAGCGTCCGCCCGTAGAGCGGAAGGTCCGGGGCTCGATCCCGGCCGCGTCATACCAAAAGACGTTAAAAGGTGGTACTTGTTGTTACCCTGTCTGGCGCTCGGCATTAAGGGGCTAAAATAAGGACTGGGCGGCTTGGAGTCAGTATACTGTGTCTGAGTGGGGTATTCATGTTAAACTGCGGCATGGTATCTCAGTGGGCTAGCACTATAAATCGGCATCAGTCCGGACTAGTACAAGCAGCCACACACACACACACACGTACATGCACGTCGCTATATAAGTGCAATAATCTTGGACGCGACGTTAAACCCAATTTCACCTCACCTCAACTCACATACTTACAGTTTAAATTGTTTTATTTGTGGTTCTGGCCTCAATCTCAATCAAATAATAAATGTTAAACTTGTAAAAAAAAGAAACTTAGTAACTATCACCCATATTATTTAAAAATACATGATTAGCTGGAAACACACTCAAGGATTGGCAGGTCCGGAAAGGAGCAATTCAGACTCGTGGGTTTATTTCCTGATATGACTAACAATAACCTGGTTCAATCAGTTGTTGAGACTATAAACGGCCACACATAAACGTTTTATTGCTTGACAATCTCACAAAGACGTCCACGCTATAGCTGTTCCAAGTTGATGAAGGTGCTAAAAGCAGTGGCTTTAAATAAAATCATTGAACGGCTAAGGAAATAAGTCCTATATGCTGTATCCAATAACATCTCTTGTACGTCTTCATCACCAACATGACGAAATTAAACTCTGTTTGCAGTAATCTAAATGAAATACGTCTGAATGTGGTAATGTTTTCAAACAACACAGCGCCCAAAACGAACCAGGGTTAATGGCCAACTCAATCAAACGTCATTAGCGATCTGAAAGTCTCAAAAAACAATAGGAAGTGAAACGCAATGAAACAAGGTCTCATTACGACATTAGTCTCGCGATCAACATGGTCATCGTGATGGAAATATCCCATTAACGAAGGGGTCACATCAATCCTGTACCAAGATCAGAGCTGTGTAAATCGTTCTGGATCTCCAATCGCCCGAAACCCATTTTCCCATGCTGATTAAGACGTACGCGTTTCTCATGCCTCAAAGGCAACTTTATGCAACGTGTGCTTATAAAACGATGGCTTTGCCTATCGATGCCGTGTATGTGTTATGGGAGAGACACTATAGATCTTTTCTACGAGGAGAACTTGGAGATTGGTTTCCTAAAGATAAGGTCAAGTAGTGTGCCCAAGCCATTTAGATGTACAATAAGAGGAACTCTTTGGAATACGGACGTTTAGCCTCACTGTATGTCAATCAAACTGAAATATGTTACTTGAATGGAGGTAGTGACATTTTGATTAGGATTGAGGTCTAACAATACTGGCATTGATACAAGGTCCTTTCATTTCCTTTGCCAGATAAAAAACATACCTATAGTTAATGGTGGAACTGGAAAACCGATAAAGGAGGCATTTTTCAGAATTTAAATCGCGCACCAGGCTTCTTGGCTGTAACATGGGATATTTATAAAGCTTATTTCAACAAAACTTTATTTATGCCCCAATAAAATTCGCCGCAAATCCTTGCCGTTAATATACTTCTCCTTTCGAACTTACATAAACTCTTTTCACGACTGACATATTGTCTTTAACAGACTGGGTAATCAGCTTATCAATGTGTTTTTGAAAAAAGTGTTCCTATATTCAAGTAATCCTTTTTGATTGAACAAAAATGCAGATTATTATAAATCTGAAATTACAGGAGGCCTTGTTGATGTCACAGTCTAAAACAGTATTTCTAGGTGTTTGAGGAAACAATAACAATTCGGATACCAATGAGGTAATTAGCTTTGAGAACATTACAAGCCACTTAAAATACGTTAACCATAAAACAAATCGTGAATCTATATCAAAATAGAAAATAATCTAAACGTGGTCAGTATTACCAGAAGATGATTTATGATTAATCAAAATTAAAGTTTCACATCTCTTACTCTCGTGAAATAGGATTGATCGCTATAGTATAATATTACATTAATCAAATTCATGTATATTTTAGTAAGTGAGTGAGTGAGTGAGTATGGTTTTACGCCGCTTTTAGCAATATTCCAGCAATATCACGGCGGGGGACACCAGAAATGGGCTTCACACATTGTACCCATGTCGGGAATCGAACCCGGGTCTTCGGCGTGACGAGCGAACGCTTTAACCACTAGGCTACCTGACCGCACCCTATTTTAGTAAGTATGGCAAACAACACCTTCACAAAAATAAATGAGAATCTAAAGCACCGTTTGTCCTCAAGAACAAGGACATGGCGTCAGCACAATTCGGACTTACAGAGAGGGCGATAAAACTCCCTTAAGACCTTACAGACATACATGAAGTCACTGACACGTCTTAAAATGCACTTACACAACACAAACGAGTTGCGAGAAATCAAAGATAACTTACATGTCTGTCCATATTTGCATCTACTCGGGGATCCGATCACACACAAGCAGCCTTGATTCAGGAAATTGATGAAGTTAAGCTTCAAGCACCATGGAGCTCCAACAACATCAGTAGCTAACGGAGAAGATACTTCCGACCTGCCGGCAAGGTAAACACTCTTATGGCCAGGCTCCCTGTCACCAATCTGTGAGGAACTCGCAGGACCACGCAAGCCTGTCAGTGAATGGAAGATGAGGCTAGAATCCTGGGTGAGATATAGGAGATGCTTGAGGATTAAAAGTCCTTACACAGGTGTAGATCTCGTTCAGCTGTCGTTAAAGACGAGAAGTGCACCTGGAAGCAGATCTTTGAGCCATTTGCGCTTTTGATCCGAATTTTTATAGTAATTATAATGGCATGTTTGATGTATTTGGGCTAACCTTGGTTCCAGCTGTCTGTCTGTTTAAACTTAAGCTCCTTGTTCTATGATGACGGTGTCGCTGTGACTACTTCTGCTTGATGGATGTGGTTGTACATTGTTCGATTTTCGATGTTCCTGGAATTGCCAATACCTAGCAGGAACACCTTTATAAGTTTGTTTTCAATCTCATAATGGCCCCGTATCCTACAACCGAATCGCGAAATTGCCCTTTAAAGAGTGTCACAAAATAGTTGAAGATTTCGATTCCTTTTTTATCCGTGTTCGTGCAATGATCTGTAAAACACGAACGGAGCAGACGACACTTCCAGTGATTCCGAGGAGCGCGTGCACCTCACGTGACTTTACACCGTGGCGTTCATTGCCAAATGAGTGCGGAAGAATTCCTGCAACAAATTTCACTCATTGTTATGAACGATTGGTTGAGCTGGTCGGTTTAGGACTGCGGTGAGCAAAGGCACCATTGACGGTAATTAAAGCCATCGATTGAAAAGCGCCTCCCATCTCTTGGCAGAACCCGGCACGTCTGTCCATTCATCACAATTGTACATTTGTAGCTCTGCTAATTTCTTCAAGTCGTAATGCGACAGGAGAAGGCATGGGTTCATCCCCTACACCATAGTTCAACGTTGTGGTGGACCGTGGACAACGTCCCCCATGCCAGATCGATCGTTATATGTCTATTCACAGACAAAAGGAAAGCCTGTAGCCTATCTATCAAAACAATGGCTCAGTAGCAGTGTCCCTCTCTGAACTGAGCTTCAACATAAAGCCGACTGGCTTCTCTACGGAAATTGATGCTGAGGACGGACGTAGTAGTCGGATGATGAGGATGCCTGTCTTGTTATATGTCTACATGATTAATAACAGTTGGGCAAAATTGTTCTTTTAACACACGAATCATGCTTCACCTTTAACGTAAGAAGAAATATTGTTCAAGGCTCTTGTAAATAGTAAAGGAATGGATTTAGCTTCATGCGGCAACATTGATCTTCTCACTGTTGACTATGTGAAAGTTTGGGCACGGCTGGCCCAGTCGTCTAAGGCTCTCCGCAATTCGCTGTGCAGAGTTGCGTCCCTTTGGCACGCCAGGAACCTGTGATCGTGGGATCGACTTTCGGTTCGCCCCGATTATGTGTCTGGGATTGTTAGCACCATACCCGTGCGCGTGGGTTTCACTAAAGTGATGAACATCTAAGACCTACATCACTTCGGGCTTTCCTGCCACTGATACGCCAGAAAGCTCACTCACTATATGAAAGTATGTATGTACAGTTGTAATCATGTACCGAAACACCAGCTTGGTCAGACGCAAACAAAACAGACAATCAGTTAGTAAGATAGTAAGTTAGTATAGGTCCCCAGCGCTCTGTTAATTTTTATTTGTTTGTTTGTTGTTTAACGCCGCATGATTGTCAACGTACCCTAACTACCCGTGAAGATCCGGGGTAGAATAGGTCTTCGGCAACCCATGCTTGCCGTAAAAGGCCACTATGCTTGTCGTAAGAAGCGACTAACGAGATCGGGTGGTCAGGCTCGCTGACTTGGTTGATGCATGTCATCGATCCCAATTGCGTGGATCGATGTTAATGATATGAATCACTGGATTGTCTGGTCCAGACTCGATTATTTACAGACCGCCGTCATATAGCTTGAATGAACCTTCGGATGTTGCTGGCATAACGTTAAAAGCGAACTAACACCCTACTCTCTCTCACTTTTATTGTGAGTTGAGTGATTTCAGCTAGAAACATCTTCCCAAGGCAAGAGAGTTAACTGACTTTAACAGTCCAGTTTCCACCCTTGCCGAACTAGGCTGGAATTCCTGGCCTCGATCGTAGCGCCACCAGTGGTTATTATGAGTTATGTCCCTTCTTTGCCTCTCCTATGGACCAATCAGATTCCACCTCTCGTATCTCATGCATTTGCTTCAAACAAAATGGCGGCGCCCAGTCAAGAAGATCTGGTCGATAATCAAGCTCTATATTGTGATAAAACGGGTCTTACATCGCGAAGTCCATCAAATTACGTGAGCACCTTGATTATAGATATGAAAAGATTTGGCAAATATCTTTTGACAACGAGTTGGCGGTGCACATGCTTTGCAAATCCTGCAATCGACCGAAATCTGCATGACAGTTTACGAACCGGATTTCGATTCCATTGCGCGATTTTGATTGGACTATGCATAGACTCGTTAGTCCAGCCAAACTCTAACTCCATAATACCAGCCTGGTTCGGCAAGGGTGGAAACTGGACTTTTAGAGTCAGTTAACTCTCTTGCCTCGAGAAGATGGCTAGAAATAGCATTATGCACGTTGTACTATCCTGCAATGTAGCTCCAACAAAGACAGACTCCACGTTGCCAAAGGACTGCCGAAATCGTGAATATGTTAAACGATTTATTAGTATGACACCAAAACAGTTATTTGATGAATAATACTTTACATAAGCAGAGAAGCAAGAAGATAACGTTACGATGTGTCAGAATATATGAATATGTCCTTGGATGGAGATGTCAATATTAAATGTTAAGCTAAAAATGGATTATATCTTTGTCATACAAGCCCTTTTAAAGTTTTGATCTTGTTTACAGAGTGAATGAGTGAATATTTATTGACACGCCTTTTCAACAATATTCGAGTGAGTGAGTGGGTGAGTGGGTGAGTGGGTGAGTGGGTGAGTGGGTGAGTGAGTATGGTTTTACGCCGCTTTTAGCAATATTCCAGCAATATCACGGTGGGGGACACCAGAAGTGGGCTTCACACATTGTACCCATGTCGGGAATCGAACCCGGGTCTTCAGCGTGACGAGCGTACGCTTTAACCACTAGGCTACCCGACCGCCCCTCAACAATATTCGAACTGTATGAAGAGCGTGTACCACCAGGAATGAGTTCCACAAATGCACCCATGCGGGGTATCAAACCCGCGTTTTCGGCATGAAAAGGCAACGCTTTGATCTCTTGGCTCCTGCACCGTGGTGATGTTGATAATCGGTTTTAAGCCAAACCGGTTTTGTAAGAAAACAACATCGGACTAATTAACAAAAAATACACCTTTAACTCGTTTAACCTGCCTTCATGTGGCATAGTTACCATAAGGTTAAAACACAGCTGTTACAATTACATCCGATACTGTCGACACAAATATTATTTACTGGGAAAAGCTTGAACAAAAACTATTTTGCTGTCTTTGTGCAAAAGGAAATCCACTGCCAGCAGCATGTGCTCAAAATGAATGATCGACGTTGGCAATTAGTTTGCCATAATGTTTATGTCTGGAGAGAGGAATTGTTTTATGCTGAGGAATAAGCCACGATATAATCGCCCCTTTCTCTTAATTGGTGAAAAAATGACTGTTTGGTAGTAAAATTCCATGGGATCTGTCTTAAACGATACTCTTATCAATCGCCATCGATCACCCTGTTGAGTAAAGTGGTCCCATCTTCGTCTAGAATATACTGACATGTTTACCCATTGCAGCGAATTAGGCTTGTGTCTCTGTTACCATGGAAACATCCCTTTCATCATCATGATGAACTCCCATATGTAATTATCTGCTAGTCAAAGAATGACTTCATTATGCCCCTTGTCATTAGCTAACCATGTAATCAGCTCAGGTAAATCAAAGGTAATGCAACGCGCGAGCAGCTTTTAATGGCTTCATTTTGAGTAACATGAACTCTCTAGTTTTTCAAGTTAAATGGCTAATGGCACGAGAGAATATTCTATTCCGGTTCGTCATATTGTCTGATGGGTACTTTAGAACCTGCACTTAAAGATAAATCTTCATCGCGTAATTGGGTTGACATTTACGTTTGGGTAAGGTGGTGGGACGTGGTCCTTTGTGCTGCGTACATGTCACAAGTCATAAATCAGACAAAGTTAAGCAACACTGGTTGCGGAGAGTAGGTGGATGGGTGACCGTGTTCGGCTTGACTCCTGACGGCTACTGTCCTGCTCATACGGGTTACATGTGGTGTCTCCGTGAGGCAAATGACTCTGTTGGAAACATGCCTCTGTTTCAATGGGTACCCGGTAGGATGATACAAATTTGTGACTGTAAACCTTTATCCGATATTCAAATATTGAATTCATTATTTTGCTGCTATCAAATACAAAACGTAGTCAGCTGGGTAAATTATCATTATTTTCATTATCTTGCCTCTTGTCACTGTCAGACCGCCTCCGTGGTCTTGTGGTAGAGCGTCCGCCCGAAGAGCGGAAGGTCCGGGGTTCGATCCCCGGCCGCGTCATAACCAAAAGACGTTTAAAGATGGTACTTGTTGTTACCCTGTCTGGCGCTCGGCATTAAGGGGCTAAATTAACGACTGGTCGGCTTTGAGTCACTATACTGTGTCTGAGTTGGGTATTCATGTTAAACTGCGGCGTGGTATCTCAGTGAGCTAGCACAATAAATCGGCATCAGTCCGGACTAGTACAAGCAGCCACACACACATACACATGCATGCACCTCGCTATAAGTGCAATAATCTTTGACGCGACGTTAAACCCCATTCCACCTCACCCAACCCTGTCACTGTCAAAACCCCCTGAAGGTTATTGAAACAGAAACTGTGACCTCATTTTCTCAACTGTTATAACAAAGCCAAGCTGAACATTAATCCTTGTGCAAATATATACATTTCATCTTATCTGGGATGACAAACAGTGCAGATCGTGTCCAATGAATACTTTACTTGTTGTCCGTTTACTTATAAATCACCCGCATGTAGTGCGGTCACAATTCATCAGAGGATTAATCAAGGTACTTAATCTAATTTTTGTAAGTAGTCCGCAGGTGGGCTTATATTGAATATTAATCCCGATATCTCAGGACAGATATGACCAGTGGACGAGATGAGCACGCTCGCGACACACGCTATCAGCGCACGCCACCAACATGTTTCATATGCGGAGTTTCCACATTTCACCGCAACACAACACGAACTAATTATTTGCATTGTGAGACACCGGAACCAGTGACGGGAAGCCCCGTGGGTACGGCCATCGTGCAGCTCCCCGGGGACCGTGTGCATCTACAGTGACTGGCACATGGGCTAATGAGCCTGCGGGTGTACACGTTGGAGGTTCAGGAGCTCACCTTACACGGTCGTGATTATACAACACTGGCATAGTGAAGCTGTGGGAGTCGTGATGAGTGAGTGAGTGAGTGAGTGAGTTGGGTTTAACGCCGCTTTTAACAGTATTCCAGTTATATCGCGGCGTGTCAGCTTAATGTGGGAGGAAAGCCCGAAGTGATGCAGGTCTCAGACGTTTACCACTTCGATGAAACCCACGATCACGGGTATGGTGCTTACAAATGAATATATTTCCCACCTATTCGCTTCTTCCCGAGGCAATGGGGTTAACTGACTATGAAAGTCCAGTTTCCACCCTTGCCGAACTAGGATGGAATTATGGAGTTATACGTATAATCCAATCAAAATCGCGTAACGAAATCGACATCCGGTTCGTAAACTTCGATTTCGATCGAGGATTTGCAAAACATGCGTACCGCCAACTCGGCGTCAACAGATGTTTTCTAAATCCTTTCATGCGTTTTATCAAGGTGCTCTCGTGATTTGATTGCATTTCGCCAAGTTAGACCTGTTTACCACAAAACAGATTTTGATTATCGATCACATCGTCTTGACGGGGCGCCGACGTTTTGTTTGAAGCAAATGCAAGTGATATGAGTGGTTGGATCTG